AACGACAACAACAACAACAACAATAGAAGCCGTGGAGTGTTTGGGAGTCGGCCGTTCCTGGACCTGCGAGCAAAGGTCTCTGTGCATCTGCTCCGCCAATTCGCGGCAGCCTGGCTGCTGGAACTAATGATCTCCTTGTAGCTGGAAGTGGGTAATTTTAACACACTCGCTATCACATGATTCACACCACTAGTGAGACCAGCCTTGGTGATTGTTAGCCAGCAGCCACAACCTTGCAGATTTAGATACTGCAACAGTCAGCAGATGGATGTTTCGAAAGTGGTGCAGTGCGGGATGCGACCGGCACGAACTAACCCCCCAATTGTCCACAGCTGAGCATTGGCAACAAGCACGAAACCCTCCACATCCTGAAGGTTCTAAGCACCTCCAGGCCCTTGGTTAGCACGTCACTGCGGCACACTTATTCTGCATGTTCCTTTTCAAGAATGTGAGCAATTCATTTGCAGCCTCAGCTTGAGTTGTTCCAGCTACAACCTTTGCTTGATGAAAGCCCTTGGACCTCAGTCCAGTGGCCTTTGTACATAAGTTTCAACTAGAACTGGGCACGCTGGGTGGAGGGAGACGTTCGGCCGTGTTCTCAGATTGCCGCACTATGCCTAATCCCTAAGACTCCAGGCCGTTCTGTCCATCCTCCAAATTCGGGATTGAGGCACCCACCAGGCCGTGCGGGAGGAAAAAGAACTGCCCGAAAGAACTTGCGCAGGGCCTACGCATGAGCGGAGACGCTCTCGACAAAGTCGAAAAGTCGAATCTTGACACAGCCTCGCCACCAGGTTTCGAGCTCCCCATGCCGACATCAGCTCTGCCATGCAGAAGGCGACTCCTACAGCAGAACTCGTCAGAGACTGCTTCGCTTGGTTTGGCTGTCTTTTGTTGCGCTCATGGTTGAATGCAGTCGCGCGCCCTGATCGAAGGTGCTGGCTGCGGAGGGCTTCAGGCATGTGCTCTGTGTCGCTTTGCAGAAATAACCCTAAGGGCCGAGCCAGAAGCCGGTGGTATCAGCAGAGATTCGACTGCAGACTACGTCTGTCTACTCGCCTGCAGACATATTGGCAGCACTAGTAGCTAGTCAACACCAAAGCTATCCAAAGTCGGCGTGGGTTATCGCCAATTCTTTGAAGGCCCCGCTGAAAATCTGCAGTCGCAAGGACAGCTTCGCAAACGATACTCAGATCGACGATGCTGCCTTCATCTCGGACTCCTTGCTCTCGATGGTAGTGCCTGGTCTGAGTTGTCAAAGGGCCTTCCGGCGAAGAAAAATGCACCGAGTATAAACTCGTTTGTGGTCATGCCCCTGCGAATGGGCCGGCTTGAATAGTTGGCTTCGATGTTGTCGCCTGGTACCTGACATCCACGTGTATTCACGGAACAAAACCCCCCGTGACACGGGAAAATGTTTCAGATCCGAACTTGCAAGTCTTGGTCCCGGAAGACTTGCTCAGGATTCTGCTGGAGGCTCCATCGTAGCACCTTGTCAGCTGAGATTATTGCGTATTCGGATCTAGGAGAAGGGTTCGACCGTGCTTTCAGTCCCAGCCCCAAGCCCGAAGCACAAGTTGCTTGCGGTCGCGGTCACATAGCTCACTTGGGCTTGTGACGAACGCGAGGTAGACCGGCTTCCGATGCTTTGGGCTAGAGTGGTTCTCCCACCGTGTTCATGTCAACGGACATGTGACAAAATGGCTTATCAGTTGCCAGTGATCGCTGTTGAGGTGATCCATATGCCGGAGAGAGGTCCTTGGTCAAGAAATACCAGTGCACGCTTGCGGCCTCGGTTGCATCTCGCTTCGAAGCTCTTCAGGTTTCCGCGAGCACAACCTGGAAGCTTTGCGGCTCCTCCTTTCCGGCGCCGGGCCCGGACTCGGGCGCTTGTGTGGCCCATCGCACAGAAAGTCTCCTTGAGATCGTCTCTACATGGTTCATCTAGGTTCGTCTTAGTCTTGATCGGAATCACCCACGTCACCCTTCGTGCTTGCGTCAAGTCCACTTGCTTTTGCGGAGACTCTTCGCTCCGGGTCAGGCTTGCGACAGAGAGACCTTCGGGTTGTGACGCTTTCAGAGCTGAGTCGAGCAGCCAGGCTGGCCAGGGCCTTCGGATTCGGCTAAAGGCAGTAGTAATACGCGAATCAGTGTAGTGTGGTAAGTACCATGCTAATCCTAATCCAAAACAACGCAGTGGTGATGTTGGAGAGGGAAACCTAGTTGCACGACAGTTGCACGACCTACATTCGCATAGCTGTGCACACATCAGCACTTGCAAAAACAGACTGCATCTCAGCACCCGTGTGAACCCAAGCCCAAGCACCCCTTGCCTCCAAGCTCCAAAGACATGACGCAGGCGTAAACGAGGCCCGTTTTGGCAAAGCAACGCTCTTAGGGCAGTGTCCTGACCCCGGAGCCACGCAGGCGGCAGTCTCAAAGTTCTGACGCCGAGCAGCTCGACAATGCCCAAGGCAGTGATGGCTGATGTACGAGGCGAAGATGGACGGGAGACTCTTTGAATTCGGTGTTTCCGTTTGGTGCTGTGGCACGTCCTGTTACGCAGTGGTATACCCGGGCACTCTTTGTCGCCACGTTGGTGGTTTCATGGGAAGAACACTAGAGCCAACGATTCGTGTTCGACGTGTGCCCGGATTAAGAATCATACACTCAGCGGTAGCAGTATCGATAGCAAGAAGTTTTAATAAAGGCTGGTGTGCCGGCGTCGGCGAACAAGCACAAGCCTGCAACTCTGCTAGCCAGAGATGCTTTTTGGCCGTTTCAAAGCATTTGCTTTTCTGTCTTTTGGCCTTGGATGCCCCGGACTTTGTGCTTCACCGTGCCTTCGCTTTATGCAACAGCGTACCATGTGTAACATATCGATGCGCTGCGGAGAATTACGAGGGGGTTGATCCTTGGGAGAGCATTGCATTCCCCGATGCTCGACACGCGATGCCAACTAAGCAAGCTGGCAGCCTCGCACAGTCGCACAAGCGGAGTTTCAAAGCCTCACATCTGCACGGCACAGGCTGGCACATGGCCCGGGAGAGCATTCGGTTCCGTGTTTGAGCTTCCCGCTTCCCTTCTAGCAGCATGAGCTATTTTGCATGTCATAGCTCGATGTTCTGCAGTTGCTCGAGTCACAGGCCAGTCGCCAAACCCGGCAGCCCCTTATGTGACTCAAGTCTGGGACCATGTGCCGGGGTCTTTAGCTGGATGAGGGATCGCACCATGCCATGTCAAAGCAAGTCGTGATATATCGCGGAGTTCAGAACCAGTGCATCTAAAGTATTATCCTACGGTTGAGCCAATGGAGCCTCCGAAGACGGTCGCTTGCCGGAACAAATGTCCAGTTGCAGAACCCTAAACCCTAAACCCTAAACAGATCATCTTGCACTTCTGGCTGAACCTGATTTGTTTCAGACTCTTCCGTGACTCTTCGGTGACACGGGCAACTTCTTGGATTAGAGGGACTGTGACTATGTGTGTCTAACGCAAGGATGTTTGAGGCCACAACAGGTCTGTGATGCCCTCAGATATCCTCTGCGGGCTACACTGAGCTCCAGAATTTGATGGGTTGTTGACTCCGAAGCCGATGTCGCAAGGTGGACACCTTCGAGCGGCAGTTCCATTTCGTTTATGAAGAGGTGCACCTGAAAGCGGGCATGAACCGAAAAGGAAGAAACCTGCGAGCCATAGTAGTCTTGCCCAGGTGCCCGTGGCCCTCTACCGCTGCACCAAGACCGGCTTGCGGGTTGTAGCGGCGCAGGCTCGCAAAGACCTCGCGAAGTTCATTCGCTCCAATGCCGGGTGTCCCATAAAGACTGCCTGCAAGGTGAAGTCGCCCACAGTGCACGGCTACTTCGCGATTCAGACAGACACGTGAACGCAACAGTGATAAACGCTTCCTATCTTAGGATTGGAAAGAGATCGGCAGTCTAGCGACGTAGACAGGGCGTGCTCCCAGGACGTGCAATGGGTTCCAAGCCCACTTCTGAGCCGCTGAGGAAGCTTTTGATGACTACGGCTGTCCACATACCCTGGAGCACCTGATCTTCCTCGGCAGTGAGCGGTATCCTTACAAAGGCGCCGAGGGATGTTTGGGAGTCCGGCGGAGTATCTGCATGCTCACCAAGACATCGGAGATAATGCTTTCTGGAAGTCCAGGATTTTATTCCGGATGCTAAAATCAGACCATCCCATACTACGAAGCCATGGCTCAATCTACTTCCAGGAAGGATACGTATGTTCACGCGAAGATGTGTCAACTGCAAGTTCCACCCCGCCATGCCGCGTTGCGTCCCGCAGCAATGGCCTGTAGGATATGAGAAGACGCTGTTGGTCAAGATGAACAGGTCTGACAGTGACAGTACCAAAGCGGGTTATTGGGCATCTTCTTTCCAATTGACACCTTCGCCACAGTCCTGTGCACCTCTTGGCTTTCTAAGCTCTCTGGGGGCTTCCACTGGAACGACACATCAAGTGATGGCTTCTAACCCGTTTGCACAAAATGATAGACCATCCAACATCCTGCGTTTGCTGGTAGAGGGTCTCATTTTCAGAGAGCCATCAAAGCGGGATTCTCCAAGACTCCGAAGCGAATTTCTCAGGTCTTGAATAGGCAAAACCGTGATCCTCGAAGGCAGCTGGACTTGATTGCAGCGTGACGGGCCACGCTAGAAACCAGAGTCTCTCGTGACCTAGTGGCCTTGCCTGAAGCAAGTTTCAAGAAATCAGAGGTGTCTTGGACGTCTTGGCCAACAGATGCCTTGCCCAGGGCACGAATGCATGGACTGCAACGGACCCCATGCCAGGGAGGGAAATGCCTCGACTCCACATAATGTTTCAGGTTGCCGAAACGTTTCCAGATTTGCTGTTCGGGCTTCTGAAGCGCTCGAAGTCAGGGCTGGCGGAGGTTGTGCTCATTGTAGGGGTTGTCCATAGCATCGCATCCGAGAAAGCCTGTGCATGATGGGGATTCGATTGTTGAAAGTGCTGTGTCCGATATCTAGAGCTCGAAGATTTGAGCCTGTGCAGCTGGTAAGAAATATCGGAATTGTGAAGCAGCCGAAAGCATGACTGGTCTAGGGCCCTTTTTGAGGTTCTTCACTCCCCGTCGCAGAATTGGAGTTCATTCATGTGTGTGTGTGTGTGTGTGTGTGTGGCAGGCGATCTGGTGGCAAAAAATGTTCTTGTTTTCGGATGTTCGATGTCAAAAATCAGAGACTGGCGAGGACCATACCTGCTACACTGTGGATACTGCCGGTGCCGATGGATTTCTGCGTCGCTGGGCTCGAGATGCTTACAGGGACCTTCGATGAAACTACTGGAGTGCATTGTCAAGGGTACGAATTGCCGGGCGTGCCAGGACTTGAAGTGCAAGACTTCTTTTGCATCGCTGCTTCCGTGTTCTACTGCTCAACTACTTGGATCGCAACAGTCTCCGGAGATGTCTAGCATCTCGAGATTCGCAAGAACCTCGCTCGTACGCGGCTCTTGGAAGTTTGATGTTTTCAGACACGCTTCTTGCACGGAGTCTGGAGGCATTCGGGGTGGTGCTTCATACGGTGCCAGCATATTCGCAGCGCATCTCACCAAACAGCTACCCCCTGAAAACCCAAGCGGCCCCAATGCTTCCATGGCCGCCGGCTGCCAGGAATTCTGCCTGTATATCTTGATCACGTCCTATTCCCGACGTTGAAGGCCGGTCCGTTGTCGAAACCTCAGAAACGCTGATTCGATGCATCTTTCGGGCTGGGAACCACCAGGACAGCGGCTTCATCACCGAGATACACCACATCACTGGCGAGGCCTTTTCATGTAGAATCCAACAAGGGCGTGGCTAGTGCAACCAAAGCTTTGCACGGGCGTTTGTTGGGGAGTGTGCGGGGAGAGAAGAATTCGGGTACCGTATTTTTTTTGTCTAT